TGAGTGTTTTTAGTTTTACTTACTGGGGAGAAAAAGCATTCAATTCCATCTTTCCAGGAACAGAAGTCCAAGTAATTTTTTAAAAATATGGATCAGGTAATGTCACTCCCCTGCTTCAAATTTCCCAAGGGCGTCCCAAGATCATTAGAATAAAATCCAAATTTCTTATTGGCCCATCAACTCTCTCAGGGCTTGGCCCCTGCCTCCACTTGACACTCCTCATAAGACTCCCACCCCCCACCCCTCACATATTCCAGCCACACTAGCCTCCTTCTGTTTCTTGAACGTGTTGAACATTTTCTGACCATGAGTCAATATCACACAGTGGTGATAAACAAGGACTCTGGTGTCAGATGACCTGTCATGAGTGACTGTATGTCCTTGGGCAAACTACTTACCTTCTTTGTGCCTCTATTTCCTCATGTGTAACATGAGAATAAGAAGACTGCCAGCCTCCTAGAGTTAAGAAGATTACATGGGTTAATATGTGTAAAGTACTTAAATGTGTTCTGCAGTCATGAGGACAGTGACCAGCACATGGGAAGTACTCCACAGTTACACGAGCTCTTGTGATGAGGTCACACCCCTGCTCTTGCACCCCACAGTTCCTGCTACCTAGAATACCCTTCTAGCAGCTTCTTTTAGCAAAACTGGCTCATTTCCATCTTCCACGTCTCAGCTCAAATGTCACCTCCTCTCAAATGAGAGGGGCCTTCCCTGACCACTTATCTAAAGTAGTCGCTCCACTTTTCTAAAGCCTATCTTTCTACGATTGAGCTTTTCATAATCTGCAATACCTTGCTAACTTATTAATTGTTTACTGGAATTTGTTACTATTTGTCTCCTTCGTCTGGGCATAAGCTTCATGAAGGGAAGGCCCTTGTCTCTTATCTACTGCCCTATCCTCAGCACCCAGATGGAGGCACATAGTAGCCTCTCAATAAATATTTATTGAACAGATGAAAGAATTGAGATCTTTTACAATTACACACTTATTACAAATAATGCTACAGTAAACGTGATTGTAGTTAAATTTTGGTTTATATCCTTAAAAGAGGTTTTATTTATTTATTTATTTTTGACATTGTTTTATTGAGTTATAGTCATTTTACAATGTTGTGTCAAATTCCAGCGTAGAGCACAATTTTTCAGTTATTCATGAACATACATATATTCATTGTCACATTCTTTTTCCACTGTGAGCTACCACAAGATCTTGTATATATTTCCCTGCGCTATACAGTATAGTCTTGTTTATCTATTCTGCATATGCCTGTCAGTATCTACAAATTTTGAACTCCTAGTCTAACCCTTCCCACCCACCCACCTTGGCAACCACAAATTTGTATTCTATGTCTAGGATTCTGTTTTTGTTTTGTATTTATGTCCTTTTTCTTTTTTTTTTTTGTTAGATTCCACATATGAGCGATCTTATATGGTATTTTTCTTTCTCTTTCTGGCTTACTTCACTTAGAATGACATTCTCCAGGGACATCCATGTTGCTGCAAATGACGTTATGTTGTCAGTTTTTATGGCTGAATAGTATTCCATTGTATGAATATATCACAACTTCCTTAAAAGATGTTTTAAAGAGAACTTCCTAAAGTGGGATCATTTGGTCCAGGGACATGCAAATTGCTTTTCAGATAGATTTCAGTAATGTACAGTCCTGCCAGTGTCCTGTGAGAATGCTGGTCTTAAGCACCTTTGATTTGAGGCTTTAGGAGAAAAATCAGACCTTAACATAACTTTTCCTTCTTATACTTCCACATGCTAAATAAATATCTAAGATCCTACTGTATTTTACAGATGGAGACACTGAGGTCCTGGGTTTAAATAGCTTTCCCAAGGTCACACATGGTAAAAGGCAGAGATGGGTTCCTGATTCAGGCAGATTGGATCTTTGCTCTTAATCATCAAGATGGACTTTTTCTCTATCTGCTTCTCAGTGATTTGTGGGCACCAGGACCCTTGAGAGCTACTGTTCCACCCACTGACCAGAAGACACAGCACATCCCAGTGGGGGTGAAAAGTGGAATGGAGGTGGGCAGGCGGAGGAGCAAAAAGAGGGGGGCACTAATTGGGCCAGGCACCTCTTGCCTCCAGAGCTTTTAGGGTGGGAGAAGCAGAGTCAACACTGGTGATGCCTTTTCAAGTTTTCACTTCTAATCTTCCTGCTCTGCTTTGGGAATCCTGAGTTCAGTCTTTGTAGCTTTGCCCAGGTGAGTCTTGAGTGGATCTGCCCTGTTGGGATGGCTGGGTGTGGCCAAGCAGTACCTTTCCTATGGGGCCCTCACAGGCCCCGGTCTCCACGGCCCCAGATTCAAAATTGCTGCTTCTTCTTTGCTGATTGTTTCCATCCTCCCTACACTCTACCCTTCCCTGCTCCGTCCCCAGCTAAAGTTAGATTTTTCACCCTGCGTTCTCAAAAGCAATGGTTCTGGTTTAATCACCGGGAATCACCTGGGGGGTTTACGGAAAAAGGCAAATCTCAGACAACCTGAGAAATCTGAACACTGATGGGATATTTGATATTAAGGAATTATTGCTGAATTTTAGGTGTGACCCATAGTATAATTTGTGTGTGGGGGCATAACAAATTCATGGAAGAATCCTTATCTTTTGAATACTTTGATATTTAAATATTTTGAAAGAAATAATACGATGTATGAAATTTGCTTTAAAAGTCTGGGCTGAAAAAAAATAATATAGTCTAGGGTGGGTAGGAGAAGTGGGTGGGGATTAGATGTTACAAAATTCAACAACTGTTGATGCTGAGTGGTATGCACACGGCTCTTCCTCAAACTAGTCTCCGTACTTGCTCAGATGCTTTAATTTTTTCCACTATAAACTGTAAAAAGCCAAAAAGCACTCGCCCCTTATTTTAAGGTCCATTTTACAGACATCCAGGCGGTGCCGTGGGGGCTTGGCCCACCCCACCTGGGGAGCAGCCCCTGCAGAGTAACCCCTGGGCCAAGAGAAACACACCTAATTGGCTGCTCTGCCCCCCACTCCCCGCCCCATAGATGGGAAAGACAGCAGTCCTCAGTAAGAAAAGGGCAAATCCCCCCACTGGCCCCCTCTTATCTGGGCCCCAGGGAAGCTGAATTTTAGCCCTAGGCTCTGTGTAAGGATGTCTGTCTATTCTCCTTTGAATTTAATTTGTTTGGGGGAAATTAACTGTTGATCGGGCTGTGAATGTGATTCTTTTTTTTTTGTTCCAAAGCTATTTCTCACTGTCACTTCATTTTTACGATGAAAGGAAGGAGTGTTCTAGTGTGCTTAGTAGGCATCTCAGAAGGCGGTCTCTAGGGCCCTGCTTTCCAAACCCTCGGCTTCCCCGGGGGTAAGTCACTTTCCTTAGGGAAGAAAGCCCCTGCTTCCTGGTGGGGCTCCAAGGTCGTGGCCGAGGGCACGGGTGTGGGCGGGGGAGGGACGGGGTTTGAGCAGGGCGGGCCGGCGGGGCACGTTTGTCCTCACCCCGGACAGGACAGGCCGGTGTTGACACAACAGAGCCACCTC